AGTTGATTTCCATCTACCAGTGTTAAGTACAATTATCGAGATCTCGAGTCCACTTAAGGGTTGAGTCCCAATCTTTCGCGAGTCCTTAAAGACGGTCTGCGTGAGAAAGGGAGGGGCCCGGTGGAAGACAAATCTCTGATAGCATCGACGACGAAAGGGGGCTAAAAATTTATCGTTCGCCGCGTTACGCGCGGTTCGTTGCGCAAATTACGCGGTCGCTAGCGAACTTTACGATCCTCGCGAGTTCCCGCGACGCGAAACGTGACCGATTGCGGAGCACGAGGGCTCAGTCGGAGGCGTACGTGTCCCAGGCTCGTCCCCGTAATATATAACGTCCTATACGTACGTCGCAGACGAACGTAAATCGCACGTAGAGCGCGCGCAAACGCACACACCGTAACGCGGAACACAGGCACAAGAGAGAGAGTACGTGCGAGCACGGAGATTGCTCCGGGGCTTTCGGGGTTGAGCATATTGAATAACTCGCTCGCTGGACCGCGAAAATATACCGCGAGGCTGGCAGTATGCGGATCGACGTTCCTGAAAGGACCTTCCAGGATCCTCGGGGCGGGCACTGTATCCTGTCTACGTGTCTTCCTAACCCACCCCGAGCGAAACGACGACGACTACGCGATGGGGAGAGACTCTGTCCGCGCATTACCTCCACGAGCGCTGGAAATGCATCGCGAAGGGAATTTCCTCGCGATACGCGCACGCAAAAACGATCCTTTTGTCGTACAGATCGAAATAGATATTGCTCTCTCCAATTTTGAAACTCGTTGCAACCTCAAATCGTGGGAAAAAATGTCCAAGCGTTCGGATATGGGAGGATTTGTTGTTCATTCGAAAGCTTGAAATAATGACTTTGGATAGAATTCAGATTTATTTGAGCAGATTGAAAGTACCATTTGTGTTTGTGAAGGTTTCTACGCATTTGGGGTGGTTGATTAGATAGAATCTAAGGATATTTGTCTGATTTTAAATTTTTGCTAGGATCAGCTATCATCCCCTCAGTGAATGTGACAAATCCAAGTGTGTTCGTTAATTATTTTACTATGGAGTAACTCGAGAAAAATTCCTTCACCATGGATCAGATTTATTCATAGATGAGAGGGATCCATTTATGTTTATGGAAGTTTCTATGCATTTGGGGTGGTTGAGTCGATTGATATAATTTTATAAAATTTAGATTGGACAAGGTTTATAGAATCGTTCAAATTTTATTTAGAATATAAATATAATTGAGGAGATTGGAAAATCCCATTTGTGTTTATGAAGGTTTCTATGCATTTGGGGTGGTTGTCTACGAAATCCAGATTAGATAAGGTTTATAGATATTCCATGCAAGGGTTGGAAATTTGTTTAATTTAAAATTTTTACCAGAATCAGCTATCATCCCTTCAGCCAATGTGACAAATCCAAGTCTGTTAATTAATTATTTTACCAAATAATAATTCGAGAAAGATTGCTATACCATGGATAAGGATTTCCAGACGCAAGAGCAATAGAGTCGCTATTATAAAAATGTAAAGACGAATTGCTGCAGCATTTCTCGAAGCTGCTAGGAGTAACAATGGGATCGCGTATTGGGACGTCGAGTTCGATACGGGAATCGATATTTTTGAGAGAACTGAGCGAGGCTTTTCGTCCGAGGCGAGGCAGGATGTACGTAAGGGAAGAGGAGGAGGACTTGTCCGGGGATTCGCAGGATTACGTGCAGGAAAATGTGGCTCGAGGCCAGAAACGGAATGTCGTTACGCCGGGTAACGATAGGTACGGCACGGCCATTGTTGGATAACCTGACTAGAATACACAGCGCTTGTATCGGCGGAAATGTAAAGAGAATTGGTCATTCGAGTATCGCGAATATCTTTTGTAAATCCATAACGAATCCGGAGATCTCTTCCCGTCTTCGTGTTCTTGTTCCTTTCCGTTAACTGCTCTTCTATCGATTGCAGATCACGGGGAAATACTGTCTAATGCGACGGAATTAATATTCAATCTAACACTGAACACTGTAGACTTCAATTTCGAATGCGTATCTGTCAAGCCAAATACTCTCTGCATTCATAATTTCATACATATGAAAGAAATATCGTTTGATCTGACTACCAACAAGTTCAATAAGAAACTACAGAATAATTTTACAATGTCACTCTAAATTTACATTATTTCCACTCCACGTCAATGCAATCGAATAATTTAACCAAACTGAAATTCGAAACAATATACTTCTTCTGTGATTCAAATAAATTAAAAACGAGTTTATCTGACTTAATTCTTATTCTTCGGTATGTAAAGAGACAATATCGCGTGGTTGGTCGATACAAATTTAAAAGACTGACACGAACGCGCGGCAGACTTTGTTTCGAAATTGCCATAAATTATTGCATCTCGTAATGGACGACGCGGATGACTAATAAGGACCAGCGTAAGATTAAGACGTGTAATCTTTTTCCGTTGCGCGGGCTCATCAAGATCAATTAGACCAGCGCAGTCGGACGATCCTCGTCCGTTAACGATATATCAATTACAGCATAGACGTAGGTAATAACTATTAATGACTTCATTCAGAGCACAATAATTACAGACGTTCCGTGCTCGCGCGACAAAGTATCTGGGTCGTAGGCGATTTCAGGCTAGCGAAATTGGCAAGCCTCGACAAACATCTGCCATTTTCAACAGACGAACGTTTCTTTTTTTTTTTTTTTTTGTATACGAAAGCACGAATTTTGGAGCTTTTCGAATCGTTTCTTGAACGAGACGAATCCCCGGACCCCTTTGTTTTTCGCATTATCCCATTGTACCCTCTAGAATTGAATTTCCGCGTTATGAAGCTTAAAATGGTCGACCTAAAATCGCGTACCTCGCTTAAAAAACGATATTATTAGTTAATAACGACAACGAGAGTTCCCCGCCGGGAACAAAACGCGCGGATACATTAATTTCCATCATTTCGGAATACGACAATGCGCGTAATCAGTTTGATAACGCGCGACGAAACTCTTTTCACCGTGCGACGAACGAAGGGGTGGTCGAATTTTATAAATTTACAAACGCTCGAAAATTCTCCGTGACGCTCGCGAGCAAGCGTAACGCGGGAAATCGCGGAAAACGTAACGTTTCGGTACGATCGAGCGAATTTTCCCAGGGCTTGGTGGCAAAGCAACGAAAATTCGAGGTCGTGTTTCGAACGTTCGAGGTTTCCGCTACCTACGGGAAGGGATATGTGCTCGGGGATCGGGGACCAGGCCACGGGGAAAACCCAACTCGAATTTCCCTGGCCGTAAGGAAAACCCACGCTGGCGCTATTCGCCGACGACAAACGACCGTGTACCGCCACCAGACGTTACCTGAGATTGAGGTGCTTGGAATCGAAACGACAGGTGGTGCAGTCGGTTTTTCTGCGATCGTGGCTGGAGCGACGACCCTTTAATGACGACCAGTCGTGACTAATCGAGGGTGGTGCGGATTGCCACTCTTTCTTTCCCTTTTGTTCCACCGTCGGGATAGTTTACAAAATCTTCGACGTTACAGCGACCTTACTTCGCGATCCAAGAGTTTCTCCCGCGGGATGCTCGTTTCTATCGCGGTTAGGATACTTTTAAGAATTTTTAGGCACCTTCCACGGTGGCGAGCACTTTGAATCCAGAAATTGCATCCCCCACAGAGAAAACTTTAACGCTGATCGCAAAATGTATCGGGTGATGTTGGTTTTTAAAATATCAACTGCACGAGGCATAGATAATTGCAATTTTGGGAGTATATTATTTTGTCATGGAACATGAAAATGATTTTTGGGTTATTTCGATTGTCAGAAAAAAGGATATTATATTTCTAACAGATTTTAACGAACACAGTTTGCGAAAGCTTGAATCATTGTTGAACGATTGCTCCTCAACACGTTGGTTGTCGACGGGGCACACTTTCTATAAATGATATTTCGATAGACACAAACGAAATTTACAGAATTTAAATATACTCAATCATTATTGACATATGCACCATGGAAAATAATCTCAATTTACTGGCCAAGCAAAACTGAAGATTATTGAAATTAATATCGCAAAATATATTAAAAAATTACGGTTTTCTCTAACATAGTTTGCAAATCTGTATACCTTCGTGTAAATATACCTATTCAGAGGAGAAATATGCATTAAAATTGTATCGTGACCGACAAACGAATGGGTGATTTTTAATTATTTAGAATTCCCGGTGCTCGAATCGATAGATCGCCAAGTACAAAGGGATATCGAATCGCGCGTACGGCGAAGCTCGTTTAATATCTTGTTCGGAGCGGAGATAGCAACGGGTACGAAATTGACTGCGACTCTGTTTAGAGTCGATTTGGGTAGGACACTCCTATGCAGACGTATCGCGGAACGAAAGGAGAGGAAAGCATCGGCGAAATGCAATTTGAAAGACGTAATTCGAAAATCGTTGTTCGCCCGACGGCAGCGACCCTCCGTCGGACGTCAAAATGAAATTACGCGACCCTCCGCGCGCCGGGGACCTTGGGGCAGGCACAAAGGCTCGTTTGCCGAGGACACAGCATCAACAATCTGACTAAAGGGACCTAAACCACTAATCGTTTCGCGATTAACTTCCATTAAACGCTACTTAATGAACAAAACTTTTGTTGCCTCTCGAGAACCATCGTGGACACTCGCAGAAAAACAACAGAACTCCTCGACTCTGTCATCTGTTCACCTCTGGAATTCGTTATTGCATTTACGTATCTGGGATGCAGTTCAAATATATCAAAATTTTTGAAAAAGCCTGATATCGTTACTATAACTCGAGGACATTATTTATCAACTCCTCCAAGTACTCCTCAAGTTCCACAAGACTTCTTCAAACATTATCAATGATTCACAGCGTACTTTTGTCGATTCTGGGGGTCAGTTCCGACCCTTTCGCAGAATTAAACGCGGTAAAATTGTTACGAGACCCAAAGTCTCGTTGGTCAATGATAAAAAAACAGTCGTCGAACGTACCTGTTTTTCGCAGCGGCGGCGCGATCCCGTTGCCTCCTGTTCTTGAACCAATTCCCCACCTGCGTAGGCGTGAGCCCCGTGGCGGCGGCCAGTTCCCTCTTCTTCCCCGGATTCGGGTACGGATCCTGCAGGTACCACTCTCTGAGCAACGATCTGGTCCTCTCCTTGAAGCAATGGGTCTTCTGCTCGCCGTCCCAGATCGTCCTCGGCAGCGGGAATTTCTTTCGTACCCTGTACTTGTCGACGGGGCCCAGAGGTCTTCCGCGTAGCTTCTCCGCCTCCTGGTAGTGCGCCTCCAGCCACATCGCCTGCAATTTGCCGTGGGAGTCCTTGGTGAACTTGTGCCTCTCGAGTATGGCGTACAATTCTCTATAGTGTCCCGAATGAAACGCGACGATCGCCCTGGCTCTGAGCACCGCCTCGCTCTGATTCAGCTCCTGGATGTTCGGATGCGCGACTGGCAGGCTCCAGAGGAACCTGGCCAGTCTCTCGATGTCGCCGCTCTCCTCCAGGGTCTCGCAGACGGTGGCCACCTGGCCGACGGTGAACGATAACGTCGGCAACGCGAAAACCGGAGCGGGCACGATCGGACCGTTCGCGGTGGGCGCCGTGGCACCGGTTCCCGCTGGTGCTACGGCTGACATCTCTGGCACCCTCGACTCTCCCTCTCGCGGACTCTGGTGCTCTAGGGTACGCGTTTGTCTCTCAGAGCATCGATGTCACCGGTCCCCGTCCGGCTCAGGAAACGCTCCGGCACGATTTGTGCTTGCTCTTGGCGCTTCTCATCGTGTCGTCGCCTCGATTCTCCGATTCATTATGCGACGATCACTCCACGGGGGGGGAAATGGGATTAATTACGGAAACTCACTTCACGATCAGACACTAAACCCCGAATGTCACTGGTCCCTGGATAGAAAGCCACGGTTCTAGTCCGATCTCGATGTCCGGCACTCGACGATCCAGAGAACTATCGACGTTTACAGCGAGCTACCGGCGACTGTCGATCCCGCTGTTACTCGCTCACGGATCCGAATCTCACCCCCGACGCCTACCGTCAGGTGACTCCCGGCGCAGGTAACGTTCTCCAGGTAGATATCCTCGGGGTCACCGGCGGAAATGCACGCTGACGTTCTCCTCGTCGGCCGTGGGGATATCACGCGAGGCCGCTGTTGCCTGGATCGTATCGGATAGCAAACTGGTTTCGTTTACAAGCCGGCATCTCGGCACCGGCCCTACCCAGCATGATACGTTTGTACGCGCCCGTTGCAACCGGGTAGTCCCGCGGCTCTTGCGACCTACCTCTACTTCGTTCTCTCTCTGGTCCTCTCCGTCGCTCCCTCGTCCTTTCTCCCTGCCTCCTGGCCGCGCCAGGACGGAGGGGTAGTCGGCGAGAAAGAGACGGATACACCGAGCTCGGTGGCCAATGTAGAGGCCACGCCCACCAGCCAGACCGGGATTGGCCGGATCCCATCCACGTAGCCATGGCAACCTTTCTTCGTCCTTCCGTACACCAGTGTCCGTGTCCGCGTTTGTGTCGGTTTAATTATCCCTTCCACGTGCTAGTCGGCACCGCCGTTCGCCCCCCCACTCTGTCGCGGATTTCTCCCCACCACTCGGCTTTCCCCTGCTCGTCCTTCACCCCCCCTCTCGCGCTCGCGGTAACCCTCCCTCGATCGTTCCGCTCCCGCCACGCAGACGTCCCTCACGCCCCCTCTATCTGTCCACGGAGAGAGAGAGAGAACGATCGATGCCCGGAGCAAAAAGGGGGTCGGAGAACGCGGGCAAAGCGGGGAAGCAAGGACGGGGCGACGGGCATGATCCCCGCGTTCAACTGCTGCCGTTCCTGCTGCCGTTCCGTACCTTCTGTTGCTCCTGCTGCCGTGATCTCTCGACGAACTGCTTTCGGTCCAGACTCTCTCTCGTTGATACCGGGGCTAAGGTCCGCCGGAGCTTTTCGGGCTCGCGTTCGCAGCACCGCGCGATGCCATTTTCGCCGATCCACCCCCCTCGTCCCGCGGTATCGTTCCGATGGATTCCGCGCGTCGCTTTTTCCACACCTTTTTTTCCTCGTTTTTCTTGTTTCGGTCGCGTCGCGGGATGGGGTACCACGCTGTTTGGGATTACTTTTTCGGGGGAGTTTAAATAACATCGAAACGTCTGCTGTACTTAGCTTTTTTTCGCGGGCCCGGTTATATCAGGTGCTCCAAAAGGTTCTCAAGGTTCCAACATCGTTTCGATGGAATCATTCAGGTATAATTATTTATGGGAAATAAGTTTCTTGTTTAATCGGGGTCTCGTTTTGTGGGGCTTTTTGGATCTGTTTTTTTTTTGGGTTTAATGGATTCTTTCTGGTGATATGACTGGCGATAGTTGTAATCGCCTGTGAATGATAATGTTATTTACGGGGAAAAATTTCTTGTTTAATGGGGGCCTCGTTTTAGGGGGCTTATTGGATTTGTTTTTCCGTGTTTAATGGATTCTTTTAACCTAGCGATGGCTGGTGGTAGTATGACTGGAAATGGCTGGCACGATATGGTGCGCAAATTGGCCCTCGGAACGAAACGAATTTAACATCCCTGCCATAGTAGATACCCCGTAGGTGTTGATTTGATAATTGTGATCGATACTTAAATTTAATAAATTGAATAACTGCACGGGAGCCACTGTAAGGGTCCAGAAGATACACAATTTGCCATCCACTAATCTTCATCGTTCTGAAAGCAATTGCGTTTCTTTGAACCACCATATGTAACAGCGTTAAAAGTCCTTAATTTGGTAGCCCAGCGGACAAATATGCAAGCCAATTAATAAATTTGACAATTGATAAAAATGTGGTCATTCTAATTCTGGCCATTTTCTTCAAATTTTTCCTCGTCAGACATACAATTGTTTTTTTCCATTGCATGCATCCTCTTAAGGATGTACGATGCAGGTCACATACAGTGAGGAACAGAAGAATCCTAAATTATATTTTAATATATTTGATTGTATAAAATACAGACTGTACAAGTTGTTTTTCTTATAGATCGCGATTGGAAGGTTTTATCAGGCTAACAATTTAGCCTATTTCAGGTTAAATGCGCCGGTAATGAAAGTTTGAGGAGAGTCTGATGGAAACGGAGAGTGTCCCCCAACGGGACGAGATCCCCAATGAGAATGACAAAAATATTGAATTTTCATAATCGTGTCCGGTGAATATTTCCGGTCGATCGATCCCGGCCGTTCGGGTCCGAAAGGGTTGAAATATCTTTTATCGGCGGATGTGGAACCATCGACGCCCCAACACACTTTCGCCCGGGTGTCTTCCGTTCTTGGAACGTCGACAAAATTGTTCCGCGATACCGCCAATACGGATAGAAGCCCTCTATTGACACGGGACTAGATTTCATTTCTCGTCAAGGCGACAGGTACACGCGTATCGAGAAGCCGAGGACGCGCGACGGCGCCGAAGGCGTCTCCGTTTTATCGAGCGCGCACAGCCACCGCAGGAGCTTCAGTCTCGCAGTAAATATTCTGATTTGTAACTCTGACGTATCCAGGCCGAAGTGTCGACTTCGTTACTTCTAGATATTGATCGTTGGATTCTTTCCTGGGGACCGTGACATCCGAACGTCTTGGTCTATGGGGTTTTGGGACCCGCTTCGAACGCGATTCGTCGACGCCTTCTCAATTAACCCCTTGGCCTCGTAATATCGAATCAGGCTCCTGGTCTAACGAATCCCACTCGTGATAAAACTAATCCCATTCTTTGGTCTCTTTTGGATGAAATTTTAATGAAGTTAGATGTAGATCGATCGTGTGAAAAATTCTGTGATACACGCACACGAAAATGAAACTGTAGAGCAAGGGATTGGGAAAACTGTAAAACTCGTAACAGTCGTCAGTTAGCACGTGCACCGTATCGATTTTCAAACGCATTTTTCTCGAAACCGAAGCCTCTAACGCAATTCCGTTATGCTCGATTTTCGCCTTATTTTTGGGTTATACGATCTTCCTCGCTCGTACCACGAATTTAGGTACACGGTGTATATATTACCGCATGCGTGTTATGTATACGGGGCTGGTCGAAGGTGTAAAAAATTCCCCCTCGCCTGGTTGAACAAATCCAGGTAAACTTGGCAGAATAATAATCAAAACCTTCAGATAAATCGATCAAATTAATTTTATATGTAATCTTTGTAATATTAGTATAGAAAATAACTATACTGTTAGCTATGATTTCAAATATGTATTTATGGAATAAAAAATCATATTTCGTTTCTACGTATGAACATGAAAGAAAACTCATCTCTGTGATATTTATGTGACGTGCTCTGACGAGAAATTGAAGCGTCACAGACGCGTGACGCAGGCAGCAAATGTGTCATAATAGCCCTCGTTCACTGGATCAAGATTTTCGGGCGACTCACGGTGCCTATTTTAACCAGGATTTTTTTTCATTATTAAATAAGTAAAATAGTATTTTTAGCCACTGTTAGGCCTGCAAATCTGACAGGACGATCTCGCCAGCAACCAGGAGCAGTAAATCGCGAAACGAACGCGTCACGATCGTGAGGCCCATCTTCAAAATTAACACACTTTATTTAACTATACTGCAAAACTTTACCAGAACTGACTCTTCCAGAAAATAATCGGGTTATTTTCTTATACGCAATACGGTGGAAATTATTTCTCTTAATTATGTGTTAATAAAATTGTTCGATTCATTATAAGAGGACCCCAGTCTCGCGTTAAAATTAAATATTGAGTCGTTTCGGTTTTCGTCATTACTATCGAAGCGAGAAGATGATCGCTGAAAATATTTATTCTCGATAAGTTTCTTAGTATCGCATCGCCCGGGCGAAATAGAAGGAAATATAATCTCGGCTCGTCCGATGATGCCGTCAATTTCTCTCGTTCGCAATCGTTCGATCCGTTATACGATCGACACCGGCCGATTGGCCCTAGTTAAATCGGATTACAGGGAAGCGGGATTACGAGTTTTTAGAAAGACATCATTCTCGTTCGCGTTCTCGCCGCTCGGGCCCAGGTTTTTCCGGATGCGATTCGCCATCCATCCGTCTGCGTCACCCCCGATCCATACACCCAGGCCATTACCTGATAGCCACGCGGAGATGGGGTTGGGAGTCGTTTTAGATTTTCAATAGCCGCGTCATGAAATCGCCAGCAGTAATCTAGCGTCGCGAAAATGGAGGGCTCGCGTCATTAGATCCAGATAATTTCGACTTTGTTACCGTAGTACATGAAAAAAAAAAATAAGATCGAACGTGATAACGCTGCAAGGTTAGCTAGATTAATTGGAGAAGAGATCGTGTTGCGTAAAAATATTATTCGTGTCGAAAGAACGAGGAAATAGAATTTAACGCGATAGAAACCGGGGGTTGGAGCAATAGGTGCGAAAGTGGCATAGTAGTTTTGGGTACGGTTGTAAAACAGTATTTTCTGAACGGTGCTCGACCGTCGTAGCCGGTGCAATAAAGATCTAAAATAAATATATGGATTTCAGTATTTTGTGTATTGATGATACAATGCATGCATATATTTTCCATCGCGTTGTCTAGAACGATTTCAGACAAAATTAACTCTCTAATTCTGCTCAATGTTGTTATTAAAACTGAGTACAGCTTTTCACTTTATCGTCTAT